GTTACATCATAATAAATAGTACCGTATGAAAGAACCATCCAAAAGCTTTCATTTGAATGGTCGCACACCTGTGTTTCATCCACAAACTTTAAAGTTAGAACTGCGCTCATCATAGTGAATAGTGCCGTATGTACTGCTCAAGAGCTTTCATTTAAATGTTCACACACCTGTGTTTTATCCAAAAACTTAAAGTTAGAACTGCGTGCATCAAAAATGAATTGTACCAAACGAAACTACTGCTCAAAAAGGTTTTTATTTGAATGGTCACACATTATAGTTTTATCCAGGTTCAAAAGTTAGAACACTTTGTACGTACATTATAAACAATATCACTCGATGATAGACTAGGAACTCGTTGAGAAATTTAGACACCCTCTACAAAATAATACACTACGACTTATTGAAGTACTACTGAGTAATTTTTATTTGAGTGGTCACATGTTTGAGTTTCACAGGGGTTTCAATGGCTTTTTCTGCAAGCGCCTGCGGATGGTGTGATAGGCGGCTGTTCTTCTGCTCGCAGGCTCAACAGACAGCAGTGAGAGATCCCACAAGTGGCGGTAGACCGCTGGTAGTAACCGGCTTTTATTGAAACTTCTGGTTTCATCCACAGATTTAAAAGTGATTCCACTGTTTTTTCTATAGTTTGAGGCTTGGATTCAAGAAAAACTGCAGATCGCCACCGACGAATCTTTCAGAGATTTGACCAACATACAAAGAAAACTTCAGAGACATCAGGCATTCGAAGCCGAAATTGCGGCTAACAAAGGTGGCTTCGACAGCGTTAATGTGGTAAGTGTTCAAAACTCAATGTTCCTTTGTTCTCGTTAAGCAGAGAGTTCCTTCCGACGAAAACCATTTTCAACCAATCGGTTATCTATCGTACGTGCCAATCATCTAGCGTTTTAAAAGAATCGTGCGGTTGTGTTTGTTGAAAAAGAGGAGAGAGCGTAAACTTTTGGTTCCAGTGTTCTGTTGCACTTTTTGTGAAATTTGCTCGAAATATTTTGGGAAATATATAAACTTTTTAAGCACAGTTCTTGTTTGAAATTAACTTGAAATAATTTGTTTAGAGTGGGAAAAAGTTGATTCGCGAAGGACATTATGGTTCCAAAGAAATTAAGGACTTTCTAGGAAGGTTAAATGAAGGTTGGAGCGAGCTTGTTGGCAGGTCCGCCGATAAAGGTTCCAGGCTACAGCAGGCTCAGCAGCAGCAACAATTCAACCGAGCTATGGAAGATGTCAAGGTTGGTTTAACTAGTAACAAAGAAACAGTACAACAGATTACTTTTGAGTAGAGGAAAGAATACGATAAAAAATTCAGGCTTTGACGCGATTCGAACCCTTACTGTCCCAAAAATTGAAATTTAACTTTGAAACACGATTTATATCGTTTAATTTAAAACCATACAGCTTTTCCCCCACAGTCGAAGTGTATTTCGGGAAAACAGACAACTCCATAGGCGCATGAGAAGCAACTTACGAAAAATTTTTACTAGACCGAAATGGCTTTTTAAGGATACTAAATCAACTATTGTCCCCACAACCGTCAACGGTTACCATTATTTCCCCAGGTTTGGATGAATGAAGTTGAAACGCTAATGTCCCTTGAAGACTTGGGCCATGACTTGTCTAGTGTCAAGTTCCTCCTCAAGAAACACCAAGGAGTGGAGACTGATATCGAAGTTCATGATGCTCAGATCCAGGCCCTTTGCGACCAAGCTCAAGTCTTGATTGAAGATGGTCATTTTGATGCGGGCAAGATTGAGCAGGCAACGGAGAATATATTGCAAAGGTGCAGTTTTTTTTTTTTTTTTTTACCATAATTTTCAAACGATTTATCGCATGTTTTACGCCTCTAATTATCCTCTGTTACTAAAGTCAATTTTTTTTTAAAGCACAGGAGCAAAAATTATGTTGGTTAAAATGTATGACGATCTGAAAATGTTTAAAGATCGTGTCATTGAAATCTTTTTCTTCACAGATTTGACGAACTGAAAGAACTTTCCTCTAATCGTCAGTCGCAACTTGAAGACTCGCTCGGTCTTCACCAGTTCTTTTATGACATTGAAATGGAAATGGCCTGGATAAGAGAGCACTTGACTATGGCAACCTCGGAGGACCTGGGTACGAGCTTAATTGGAGTTAAAAGACTACAGAAAAGACACTTGGTAAAACTTTTCCTCTTTTTCTTTTTAGATAGAAATTTTAAACAAGTGAAGCTCGCGGTCTGATGAAGGCGGTTTAGTTTTTTATTACATCCATTTTGAAATCACTAGTGGCCCCTGTAATCTGATTGGCTCTAATTGGTGTGATTTATTCACAAATCGCACCATTTTTTGCTCTAAATCGCATCATTTTACGCTTGACTGAGTTTTTGACACATGACGTCAGTCTTTCCGTTTTGCATACAAAATAAGATGTAAAAGCGTTTCCTGGTTCCACTTTTTATTTAAAAACCGGCTCAATACTGCATCAGAAAAATATTTGAGTTGATCAAGTCCTGTATTTGGGCAATTTCAAAATGGATGTAAGAAAGTGGTAATTGAACCTCGTGTCGTGCAATTTTGGTCTGAAATCGTACTTGTGATTTCAAATCGAACTCGCGCTGCGCGATCGTTCAATTTTGAAATCACACGTATGATTTCAGCCCAAATTGCACTCCACTCAGTTCAATTACCATTATTTACCACAATTCACAGTATTCTCGCAATCTGATTGGCCAATTTTGCCTTGCTGATAAGAGCACAGACAGCGTTTCTCGCGTTAACGTGTCACGCAATGGTCACGCACTGAAAGGATCGTTTTATTTGTCGTCGATATTGTGCAGCACCTCGTGAGTCCACAACATTTTGACCACTGCGATGACGAATATCTTTGTCAATAAGGGTTCAGACCACGTTAAGCCACTGTCGTTTTGTAAAATTTCAAATTTGATTTTATTCGTCTCTTCGAGGTGTAAAAGTCAATCGTTTTCTTGGCTGAAGGGTCCTTTCTTCCCAGAAGTGATGAACCAGTTATGTCTCCCTTCGGTGTCAATAAATTATTCAGCTAACAAGTGACGAGAATAGATAACTTGTAACTGAATGATGTCATGTTGATTAAGATCAAATTCTCTTCACCGAATGAAAAGTAAATGTGTAGGAGCCAGGAGGATTGCTAATCAGATCTGTAGACTGAAGGATACACTCCCTGCATGACGTCATCGTGACTGACGCCTTGACAACTCGAACGGAAGTCATCACACTTGACTCTAATGATGATTTCTAATCAGGTTGTTGAAACCTTGGTCCCTGTCACTGAGCACAGTCTTTGCAGGGTTTCTTTCACCCGTACTCTTACCTGTGTATTTTTTTTATCCTATTCGGAGTTTTTTCGAACTATTATCACACTTATTTTGTTTTCAGGCACTGGAAAATGAACTCTCCAACCATCAATTTCGTATCGACACTGTGTTAACTTCCGGTCAGGATTTGATCGACAGCAATCATTACGCAGCCGATGAAATAGAAGAAAGATGCGAGGAACTGAATGAGAGTTGGGAATCACTCTTGAGGGCTGCTGCTGAGCGGAAACAAAAACTTGGAGATGCTTTGGAATCGCAGAAGGTTAGTGAAAGTGCTTTATTATAGAGCTGGCAGTGCAAGCGAATCCTAGGTTCTGATCGGCAACCCGAGCGGGATTGCCCACTCTCATTCCGCCGAGGAAATAAAGCTGCGCGCAATGGATTTACAAAGGCGGAAGAAGAGAGGAACAACGAAGGAAACATTAACGGGTTTCGACAGTTAACTGTACTGAGAAAAAACAAAAAAACATTAAAACTCCAAAAAAATTCCAGCCATCTTCACCGAAAGGCTTGGTCAATGACACGTGTTTAAAAGACTAAAAATGAATGAGAAATATGATTGATTTGAGGTCATTCTATAATTTTGTCGCCCTCTTCAGTACTTTACAGAAGCAAATGAAGCGGACTCTTGGATGAATGACAAGGCTGGCCTGGCAGCCAATCAGGATTACGGAAAGGACGAGCTATCCGCCGAAAAGCTGCTTACCAGGCACACTGCCTTGCAAACAGCAGTAGATACCTATAGTCCGATCATCCAAGGTCTGGCCGAGCAGGCGAAGAAACTAGTGCAGAGTGGTCACTTTGCGGCTGAAAATATTGCCTCAAGACAGGTAGAATCGTTTGTTTTGAACATTAGGCAGAATGAAAAGTTGACATCGACACCTGACACTTCGTAATTTTTTTTTTTTTGGTTTATAGACTCTTTACTCTGGCCAATTTACATTATCAACTTAAATTCCCTTCTTACTTCCACCGACGCAGCACCGCAGTTTCTTTAGAAACTTACCCCCTTCATTCACTTGACACTTCGAATTGTCTTCCGACGAGGGACGAAGCCACGGTGCGACATCTTAGCTTTCATACCGTTTCTTTTCAGCGTGACATAGAGGAACAGTTTTTAGGGCTGCAGACGCTGACCAATACGCGCCTTCAAAGACTGGAAGAGTCCAAGAAACTGCATCAGTACCTGCGTGAAGTAAATGAAACCTCTGAGTGGATTACGGAACAGCTTCATGTTGCTGCGGCTGAGGATTATGGGAAGGATTTTGAGCATTTAGAGGTGTGTGTATAAAAGCTGATGAAACGGTTTGGCCCGAAGTCAAGGGTCGAGCATTACATCGTTCAAATTTAGACATGGCTCTTTTGCGTGTGGGAGACGTTGTGGCCCGATGGTCAGTGCATTGGACTCCGGGTCGAGAGGTCTGGGTTCGAGACCCAGTCGCTTTATTATATGGAAACCGGGATAAACTCCGGCTCGGTGGGGCACTAGGCACTAGTATAGACTTTCTTTTGCGTTTGGTTGCCCCTTGTGAAGTTGGGCGTTATAGTGTGGTCAAAGTGAAAAAGCCTTACATCATTTGACGAAATTTTGGAGAGGGATCTAGAACTCACTTAACACGCGCATTTAGAAACATTTCGTAAATAGTGGTCCTCTAGATGAATTAAATCTTGCTAGTTTTTATATACATATATATATATATATATCTCGTTACAGGTGATTCAAGGTAAATTTGAGGATTTTCAACGGAGTGTCGTGGCTAAAGCTGAACGATTTAGCGAGGTGGACAATTTTGCCAAGCGTCTGGTGGCTGAAGGACACACTGACACGGTGATCATCAAAGAACAACAAGATATTCTGAGGTGGGTTACACCAAGAGATTTTAATCTCTGTTACACTCCTTTGCAGCTGCTCTTTGATTGAATCACGCCAAACGTTGAGGCAAAGTATTCTGAAGGGATTACCCTAGTTAAATAAAGGTTTACTCTACTACTACTAAGAGCGAGTTACATTACCGGACTAAAGAAAAATTGTGTTAAGACCGACATGCTAGTTTTTCAATAAGGTGATTATTTTTGCGTCAAAAATGTTAATGCACGAAATTTGTCACTGTAGATGACCTGACAAGGGCATTTTTTCTAATTAGAACTGTTAACGGTATATGGGACAGGTGTTCACCTCATTTCCTTTCAAAAAATATTTTTTGTCCGATTGAGGCTTTACGATGTGCGCACTTGTTCAGAGGGACCGCACACCCATGATTGTCTTATTTGTGTCGGTTTCCCCTTCAGATCAATGTGGGCTCAACTTCAGGATCAAATCAAGATCCGCACCAAGCGACTCGCTAGCGCCGCAGAGATTCACGGGTTTAACAGAGACTTGAACGAACTGATCACTCGTCTCCAGGAGAAAGATTCCTCGCTCTCCATGGAGGACCTGGGCCGAGACATGGCTAGCGTCCAGGGCCTTCACCGGAAGCACGAGGGACACGAAAGAGACTTGGTTGTGGTGCAGCAACAAGTTGACACCTTAACAGCCGAGTCAGGAAAATTGCAAGCTGCATATCAAGGTAACTTTGAAAGGCTTTTTTAAAGCGCATACATGTGCAAAGTCTGTTATTGTTGTAGGAGACTATAGCTCGCCAGTGGCTGAACAAATGACAGACTGCAGTTCTGGACAATGCACCTAAGTAAGAATAGAGGAAAAGCACGGACACTACAAATCACAGACCAACACTGATAAGGTGAATCTGAACTTAGGGGTTGCCTAGGTGAGTTACGCTTTTTAGGGACCATTGCAAGAAAGCCTTCATTTTGTGAGGACATGCAGTTTCATTGTCGTAGAAAAGTATTCACACCAACCAATCAACAGTGTCGTTAAACAAGTAATCACAGCAGCCAATCGGAACTGAGGAGATACGTCGAGGAACCAATGAGGCTTCGACGTAAAGCCAAGGAGATGACTTGCGGCGCGGGAACACACGAGTAAGAGAGTTGCTATTGGTCATAGCTGTAGATCTGATTGGTTGAAAGGATAGAGTGAGTTTTCTACAACATGGCGGAGTGATGCAACACCAATGTATTGTAGGATTACACTTAATTTAAATTTCTCTAATGCATAATAAAACTCGCTTTAAATCCTTTGTTTTTTTCTCAATACTTAGGCCACACAGCTGAAAGTATTAAAAAACATGAAGAATTTGTTCTGAGTTTGTGGGATGAGCTGAAAAGAAAAACATCCCGGAAGAAATGCAAGCTGCAAGATTCAAGCGATTTTCACAAGCTTAACAACGAGGTGGGAATGTCTTCTTCTGACTGAAGTTTTCAGGTTTTCCCTACAAATCGTATATGGAATAAATGCTAGATTAAATGAAAAAATCGTCCTCGAAGTATTTTTGTGAGTAAGAGAACGCCTCACGTAAGGCGATTCAACAGCAGGTGACCCCCCGTGAATTGATATTGTGTTTACAGCTTAAGGGGGGGGGGCTTGCAAGAAAAGTGTTAACTTACGGGAAAATATAAAAAGAGCCTTTAGTGCTGCTTAGACGCCAGTGTAGGTCTCCATCCCGACCAATCCTGCCATCGCCCTTTATAGGTTGTCAAAGCGCAATGCCAGGTGAAGATTATGTCTTTGTGTTATTTATGACGTCTGTAGATCCGGGACCTCGTGTCATGGTGCATTGATATGAGCCGTACCATCTCATCTGGTGAACCAGTGCATGACGTAGTAGATGCCCAGGCTCAGTTGAGAAGGATCGAGGAGCATCGCGCTGAGATGGGGGCGCGAGAGGAAGGATTCCAAAAAGTCATGGAGATTGGCGAGAGAATGGTTGACAATGGCCACTTTGCAGCAGACGAGGTAAGTGCCTCGTTTGATTTCTTCCTTGTTTCTTTCTTGAAGTGGAAGATACGGTGGCTTTGTGGTCAGTGCGCTGAGGTCCAGGTTTCGAGACCTAGCCGAGTTATTGTGTTGTATTCTCAGCCAAGACACTTTACTCTCGCAGTTCCTCCACTGCCAGAGTGTAAATGGTTACCGGCAAATTACAGCCTCTCGCTGATACGTTTGTCATCTCTCACCACCTGTTCATTGGTTAATGCATTTATATTGTAGGAGAAGGAATTTGTCGATCTTTTCTTGCGGTTGATGGGTTAACCAAACTGAAAGTTAAAACGATTTTGTGCGAACTCTTTACATCCAACCGAAATAAACAGACATGTGACAAGTTATTTCACAGTTTGTGCTTCTTGGAAACAGATGGTGAATATGTGTAGCATTTTACAGCTGTCGATTGCTGTCTTATTCTCACAAGATTCACATTCGTCGCCATCGCACTATATGGCACGTTATAGAACTGTTTTTGACTAATAACTACAAACTGCAAGCGCAAACGAAAAATTCCCGAGGGGAATGTCACGTGAACCAGACTCGAAAACCACACATTTAAGTTAGCTTTCCTCTTTCTTTCCGTCTTATTTCGCTTGATTAGCCTTGGTTTTTTTAGTTGTGTATTTTCAATGTTCTTGTCAGATTGCAGAAAAGTTGGAGCTGCTACTTACCGAACGTGAAAGTTTGTACGCAACATGGGAAGATAACAAAACAGAACTCGACCAAGCATACGACCTGCAGGTGTTTCTAAGAGAAGCGAAACAAATCGATACCTTAACGAGCACACAAGAGGTGAGACCGATGTTACTCACCCGCTTTCCAGTAAGGAGGATTTTGCGGGAGTAAAAAAAAAGGGAAAATGATCAGAATACTTACTAGCCTAGAAAATAAACTTTGGACTGAACTGGACAGGTGCAAAAATTATGTCACCATTGACAAAATTTTGTATCTTTATCATATTTAACAAATGGTAAACACCACAGCGTACACTATTAAGTTATGGATGCACGCGGGAGGTTGCTAAGCACGAAAGAAGCGTAAGAGTCATGCGAAGCGATAGCCGAGAGCGACTCTAGCTTCTTGAGTGCTTAGCAAACCTCCCAAGTGCATCCATAACTCAATAGTGTACACTGTGGCGTTTACCATTTGTTTTACAACATAACATTGATACATTGTAGCAAAAGAGTTTTCTTTTATTTAACAAATCTTACGTGACCAGAAAAATACAAGCGCGCGCGGAAAACTAGTCTTTGCATTTGCTCGCGTCAGCAGCGTACACCCATGGGCAAAAGGTGGACGCTGAATTGACGAATCAGAGCGCGCGCTTTACTTTGGTTATGTTATAAGATCTCTTACTGTATAGCAACATAGAATCTATTTGTTTTGTATGATTGAATAGCAAACTGCTCTTAATGATGACGTCATCGATGCATCATCTGTCCTCCAGCAGGTCATTAGTATTAAGAACCATTCAAAATGCGCTGATGACCATGCCTGTCATATACATGCTAGTTCATTAACGCATTCTCTTGCCATTAGGTTGTTCTCGCAGGAGCAGAACTGGGAAGTAGCGTGGACGAAGTTGATTCGTTACTTAGGAAACACGAAAACACGGAGAAGCTTGTTGCCACACAGGATGAGAAAGTAGCAAATCTTTGTGAATTTGGAGACACTTTGATAGCGAACAGCCACAACGAATCTGACAAAATACAGGATAGAGTTCGTGCGGTATGCGAACGGAGAAACAAACTAAATGAAGAGCTGCTGAAAAGAAAGCACAAATTGGAGGATTCGAGAAAGATAGCGCAGTTTTATCAAGACGTTGTTGAGGTACAGAAAAAATATATTGAGCAGGTTTTTTTCTCCCAGGCTTTGAGCCTCAACTTCTTGAATTTGTCTCCGTGTTCCAAACATGGGACACTTCTCAATTTATTGGCGTGATAATCACATCGTGCAGCTACTGTGAAAATTTATTTCACAATGGCGAATGAAAAAGTGAAGGGAATGTCTGTGAACAGCCTAAAGCGCGGGAAAACACGTAGAAACAAGCTGAACCTGGTTAGAGTTTGCATAAGGGTGGTTGAGAAGGTGGGAGAAGTTTGCTGAGCCAATCGCAGAGGTCGGTGGAGCCAAATCAATGCAATTCTGGATTGTTCCAAAGCGTGCTCCGCAGAGCATTGCCACTTCATTGCTTGAGATTCTATTACTTCGGCATGGAGATACTGAGATTCATTTCCTATGGATGACAACCATCTTTTTATTCCATAGGCCGAATCTTGGATAACCGAGAAGCTCCAAACTGCCAGCGATGACAGTTACAAAGACCCAGCTAATTTAGAAACTAAGCTACAGAAGAACAAGGCTTTTGAAGCAGAGCTCACTGCACACGAGGAAGCCATTGACGCTGTTCGGGAAACTGGTGAGGAACTTATGATATCCGGGCACTTTGCGGCTGACGAAGTGGAACGCCGAATCGAGGCTCTGTATCTTCACTGGGAAGAACTCTTGGAGGCATCAGCCAATAAGGGAAAGAGATTAGAGGAGGCCAGGGATCATCAAAAATTTACCCAAGAAGTCCACTTAGCTGATTCTTGTATCAGCGAAAAGGTTGGTACCCTTGTACGATAGAAATGGAAAATCGTATTTGTGAACTGTGGATTAAGAAGTACATAACAAAGCGATCGTCGTAGTAATAAACACTACTTAATCAGTACTGGAAATAAGGCCTGGAAAAAACCCGTATCACAGAGGTCATGGGTTCAAATTCCGCACAAATTAAATTTTTTTCTGCCCTTATTTTCACTACTGCTTAAGTAGTGTTTATTACTACGACGATCGCTTTCATATGTTTTTCTCATGCAATGTATTGTAAAGGACAAGATGCCCGTGCGGGTCCTACGACAGAACTTTGTTTCCGCATTGAGTCGCGACCATTCAAACGAATGTGAATAAGTACGATGGTCGCGGCGATTTGTTGTGGAAGCTTAACACACGAATCAGTTTATCGCTGAGACCTTTCGCAGTGAACTTTCCCCCTAATATATCCAAGACTAAATTAGAACCGGTTTTTATTGACATGCAAGGCTTTCTTGCTAGCGCTAATCCAACAAATAGGAAAGTAAGGGAAAGATTTCAAGAGGCAGGTGTTTAGACATTTGTTACCTATTTTTTCGATGCAGTTGCTGCTTCGGATGTCTCCCAGTGGATAACGCCTTTTATTAAAAACTGGATCATTGGATAATGCAATTCAAGACTTTTTATTGGCTCAGCCATTATGGTATATGAGCCAATATACCATAATCTAACATCTGTACATTGTAACATCCGGTTTCTTCTTACAAAATAAAGTCGAGATTTGTCTAATATCTTGGGGGCGTTTTTTTTTAATAAAACAATTATTCC